CAACACCACCAAACTGCAAGAAACTCCACTACCCCCAACCCAGTATATTTTTATTAACCATCAAAATAATCTGTATATTTTAAAAAAAGGAGGAAAGAAAAGTTTCTCTGAATATTTACAGTTCTGCGCTTAAAACAAAGGCCACCGACAACGTTCATTTTTGAATAGGCAACTCAAGAATACAAAAAACGTTAAAGGAACAAGCGATTAGCACATCTTCAGCTTATGGCACTTCTACATCAAAAGAAGGAGAAAGAATAGACTGAGGCTAAAGTCTAACTGACTTCGTGCCTTGAGTCTTCTTGCAGTAAGACAACTGCATGATCAGTACTGAAATACTCCATTTTAAACAGCTATTAGCAATGGCCATTGTACATATCCACACAACTACCCTTCATAAAGAATTTACTATGCATTATAGCAACACAAACCTATTTACACTATAAGTTGTTGTTCCAGTCCACCAAGTACACAAGGCAATTTAATGCATCCTAAAAAAAAAAAATCAATTAGGTAATGATCATCTGATTAAACAGGCACATCACACCATTCAATTCTTTCAAACATACTCATAAATCCAAGCCTTCAGACCTTGCTGAAAACTTCTAAAACCTGTACGTGGGTAATTTAAGTAGTCGACTTCAAGCTTAATGAAATTCAGCACAACATAAAGTATTACATGCTATTAACATGAAAAAGCACCATCAGACAGTGACAGGAAAAAAATATTTTAATAGGCACTCTGAGGTATTTATAGTTTCAGCAAAACTGATTTTACAGAGTAGCAGAAGGCTTTCCTACAGCACACAAACACTTTGACAAGGCATTCGAACCAAAGCCAGGAACTGATTAGGGCATCATCACTAGCCTGAGGTCCAAAAGGGGAACAAAAAGACATTAAATGAAAAGGAAATTATTGTCTTTATAATCAGATCATATTACTCACACTATGGTGAGATGTACTGCAAAATGAAGCCTGATGTTTGCAGGTGCCAAGTATCCCTGCATATAAGGCTTTTCAATTTTCACATCACCCCTCTGTAATTCCATGACATATTTAAGAGATTAGAAACTGAAAGTTAAACCTGAAAGTATGTTTTTCTGCTTTCTGTTTTCACCTACATACAGTGATCTCCCTGAAGACCTGGGTGAGGACTGCTAATAATCTTAAAATTACATTCATCCCATGCAAACCAGAACAGAAAATACATGAGATGATGAGATAGCAGTGCTGAACTTTACGTACAAACCCAGCATTTTAAAACCCTGAGATGCATACACTCACCTTGTGGCAACTTGTGTTTCAATCATGTTGAAAACTCACAACATAGGCACAACTGAACTTGCTCCCAGCTTCCCCTTTTTCCTACCCCTCCCCTGCCACTGAAAGAGGCAAAACGCCAAAGTTTCCACGCAACATAAAAATCTCTTTGTACACAATTCATCCACTGTACATATTTATGCCTATTGACAAAAGAGAAACTGTCAGGTCAGCAATCCCGTAAATTAAGTACATGGCTCTTAGTAACACCTTCTTTTCTTATACTTCCCATTTTATACAGGTGCAGAATAATTTGATTTTTAATCAACGCAGCACTCCAGGTGGGGTCTCAGGAGAGCAGAGGGGCAGAATCCCCTCCCTCGACCTGCTGGCCACACTTCTCTGGATACAGACTGGGATACGGTTGGCTTTCTGGGCTGCCAGCGCACACTGCCGGCTCATGTCCAGCTTTTCATCCACCAGTACCCCCAAGTCCTTCTCCTCAGGGCTGCTCTCTATCCACTCTCCACCCAGCCTGTACTTGTGCTTGGGATTGCCCCAACCCAGGTGCAGGACCTTGCACTTGGCCTTGTTGAACTCCATGAGGTTGGCAGTGGCCCCCCTCTCCAGCCTGTCCAGGTCCCTCTGGATGGCATCCCTTCCCTCCAGCATGTCAACTGCACCACACAGCTTGGTGTCGTCGGCAAACTTGCTGAGGGTGCACTCAATGCCGTCATCCATGTCACTAACAAAGATGTTAAACAGCACCGGTCCCCACACCGCCCCCTGAGGAACGCCACTCGTCACCGATCTCCACTCGGACATTAAGACATGCCACTGATAGCAACTCGTTCGAGTTCAACCATCCAGCCAACTCCTTATCCACTGAGTCGCCTATCCATCAAATCCACGTCTCTCCAATTTACAGACAAGGATATTGTGTGGGAGCGTGTCAATGTTCACAGCAACCTTTGCACCCGTGTCACAGCACCTATGCCATACTTTCCATGCTCTCTTCAACATGCTGGGATTTCCACACAGCATGTTAAGAAAATTTGCGGGTTTATTTTCACCTTCCTGTTTGCACTATGCCTAGACCAAACAGCAGTTGTAAGAGAATGTCTGCAGCATTATGTAGGTATCGGTTTTTCAACAGGTTAGCAGGCTATGTCTGACACCCATGCTGCAGATATGCAGAATGACTGCACCTGGTAACATTTCATCTTTTTCCTCCTCTTTAATCTTTCGCTACTCATGCCAGAGGCCTCCCTTCTCCCTAGCTCTCTCCTCCACCCCTGGGCTGCAGGCTGGAACACACTATTCTCTGCTGCAACATTACATAGACCAGCTACCTACATCTAGGCAATTATCTTCATTGCTACCATTTCCATTAATTTTAGCTGGAACTTTCAGGTGCTGTTTTTCATCTTTATTTCTTCATTTGCAGCATCCTGCAGCAGAGCCTGCAAGTTAAAATCTGTCAAGTCCCATAGTTCTAACCTCAAGCCACAACACTCGCTGACAAAGAGCCAGACTTAACATTTCAAGGTCCTCTTCAAAATTCAAAAATCTTCACAGTCTAACAAAAAGCATGCTCATTTCATCCAAAGAAACAGAACTGACACCCTCAGCTATCTTTGGGCAACAGCAGACTATAACTTAAAATAAGAACAACCTCCCCCATCGATGTTTCCCACCTTTCCTACAGTGTGGTGCTTCCACCCTCACAATCCATGTATGCAATGCTCTCTCTGCACATCACTTAAATCTCAGCACTCTATGCGTTTAAGGCCCAGTGTTTTTTGACCAATCAAGTTTTTAGAAGTGCCTTGCGCTTTTGATAAATTCAGTGTGACACTTTAAAGGAATCCCAGTTTTTAGAAAGTGCTGAGATCCATCTTCTGAAACTTCTGGCAACATTATTTATTTCATATATATCATATCTAGAGGTAGGTACACACTACACAGCCAATTTTAACAAGCGCAGCTAGGCTCTCCTTATTTAATATTCATGTCACAGGAGCAAAAATCCAGCCAGGAATCAAACTGTGGCGTCCTGTGCCAAAGACAACTTACCACTCAGCTGGTAAGTTGGCAATTCAATTTACAAACCTGCATTCATGCATTTTAATCCTTTGTAGAAAGGTGGTAATATATGAGCAATATGAAAAGAACTGGATTCGGATCATTAGAGGCTCACAAACCAAACACACGAAGCTTTGGAGGCTGTCCAAAACAAAATCATGCCTAGGTGGTGATGTCCGTTCAATAAAAATTCAATGTCATAATTATCCTCTCACTTTTTCCCCAAAGAGCATTAGTGCTCAGAACTGTGCTGCTGCTCAGCCAATTATATTAATGCTGTGAGAAGATGGATAGGGCCGGCAGCCAATCGCTGTGCCAGGTCACTGCCTGCTGACGGGTAATTTACAATTATCAAGCAATTAGCAAATGAAGTGAAAATTCAACACTCATCTCCACATAACACGGAATAACTCATTTTAAAATTAAAAATATGTTTTAATAACTTCATTTTGGCTACAGCCACACAGAGAAAAATAAAGCCTCCTTTTCTCAATTTCTCCTCCTTTTACAACTGACAAAATGCTTTGCTCTCTGAAGCTAGCAACCAAACATACTGGCTGACATTTCTAAACTAAACAATCTCTTCCTTACAAGTAAGTATTTATTTAACAACAGAAAATAATAAAAAATGAAGACTGTTGATAATGGTACTGTTCACCCAACTACTGCATTTGAAACAGGTATTTAATTAACCTCCTGATTAATATCCTGTCCTGGTGGATGGGTGCTAACAACAATTAGCCAGGCATCTATCCGCAAGGAGCCAAAAATGTTCTTTTCTTCTCTGTATTCAACAGTAAATGACATTAAAAGAGCTAATCTGCAACTAGTCAGTTGCACAAAACAAATTATCATTAATGGGAAAGAACAAGTTATTACTCTCTTGTGCTCACAATGAAGTACAGAGCTCCCCTTGCCTACACTTATATTCCTAACTTAAAAAAAAAGTCAAACTTAACTTCTTGATAACCTTGGTTTATCCCCCCCCTCCATGCAACTACTGTACCTTCCTTAGTACATGGTATGAACCTTCTTTAAAAGGGCAGGAAAAAGGCAGAAGAGGTCACCATCAAAGTGGAATCCAAGTAGATAAAAGGAGATTCTTACATTTCTATGTCCTCTGATAAAAAAATACTGACTTTAAGGAGTTGGTAAAGGGAAAAAGATAGGAAAAGCTACAGGCTCCTACCAAAAGGAGGAGAGGGAATAAAATAATAAAAAAAACCCAAGCACCAGAACAACAAGCAGCTGATATAAGTATGTAACACTGGACAATACTAGTCTTGCTTCACTGATGTCAGTTCTAGGTTTTCATCTTGCATTTAAATGTATCTAAGCCAGAAAGAGAGTTAAAAAAAAGAAGTCCAAATGATGTCAACTGGAAAAAAAGAAAACTGATAGCATTTGACATACTTCTCCCTCCAAAAAGATACCAAAAAGTAAACTTTTTTCCCTGACTCTATGTGGTTTCAGAAAACATT